TCAGCATCCCATACAACACCTCAGCCCGCTCCCTGACCTCGACAAGATGCCCCAGTGGCCCTCCACCCTGAAAACTTGGGAGTGGCGCGAGGTCGGAGACCCTAACGACTACTTGATGGGTCAGCATGCCGGCCCACTCACGCTCGACTGCCCTAAGAACATGTTCAGAACCGACACCTCTGTCATGCGGCGGTGGCTCATCACCAGGTTCTGGAGCGTAAACTCTCAAAGCATGACGCCTCCTAACCCCTGCCTGCCCTATGGCCTGCTGCTCTCGTTCTGTGGGGTGTGCAGGCGTTGGGCTATGTGGAGCAACGTACACAACGTCATCAATATACCGAAAGGGCATTACACCAGGATCTTCATCACGAGGCTCAGCATCATGCTGGGGCCTGTCAGCTTCTTCAAGGAGATCCTCTTCATCAGGCTCCTGCTCCCTCTCAGATTCGGAGGCTTCTGGGTCTGGTTGAGGCATATCCCAGCTTGTGAGTTTCCGGTAACACACTCGGCAGCCCCACCTGAACATCTCCCAAGCAACGATCACAAACACGCTCCAAAGCAACACAACTCTCCAGAAGACAAAGTCATCAGAACCATCACTCAACGGTTGACCCTTTGCTGATGCCACGCAAAGTGCAGCGACAATGACCCTGAGAGCTTCCTCTACCGGTGGACCTGACGAGACAACCGCAGAGCTGGTGCGTTCGCGAGCAGTGACCTCAGAGAAACTCAAGACTCCCATCATTGCCCGGAGCCTTTCGAACCGCGATGGCTGGAGTGCCTTAGTTCCTAAATCTGCGGTGTTGCATTCACCTGGAACGTGAGATACTGAACATTCACCATCGCTGATCTGCTGCCGCAAATGTGCTGCACGAATACGCAGATGGCGAGTCCGCCAATTGGTGGACTGAGCATTGCATATCGTGGTAGCCGCGAGATTGTCGTTAAGGATCCGCAAGTCTACCTTGCAACCCTCGATTTCCTCAATCACGAAGCGCTGCGATCTCCCGTACGAGAAGCCAGTGGTCACGGAAAGTAGTTCGGCTTCTGCCGTACTAGCTGCTACAAAGGGTTGTCGAGTTGACAGCCAACCCGTCAACGACCCCAGAGAATAAACCATTGTGGCCTCATGCGATCTCTCACATGTGGGCGCGAACGCAGCGTCTGTTTGGGCCTCAACAACATACTTGCCATTGACAGAAGCAACCGAACCCGTCTCCCCCTGAGCTGGATACTGGTCTGTGTACAAGAGGCCAAAATCTTTGGTGCGATACAGATACCCTAGCAAGTGAATGCAAAGTGGCCTAACTGCAGCTGCATTCTTGGACATCGCTTGAGAAAGACGAGAAACAGCGAAGCCAACATCTGGCCGAGTTCGTGTACTAACCCACAGCGCTTCCCCTAGCATGGCCTGGCACTGTTTAAGGTCGCTGGCTGATTGCACCTCGGCAGGCGGTATGTCCAAGGTTCCTGGGGGAAGAGGTGTGGAGGGAGCGGGAAGGTCACGATACCTTGTAGCAAGCTCCGTTACGTAGTCTCGCTGGCTGAGATGAAGACTCCGACCAACTCGCCTGATTTCATACCCAAAGAACACCAGGGGCACCTCAGACGTGTTCTCAGGTAGAAAAGATACCGCGCCACATTGCCAAAGCTTGGAGATCTCAGCAAGCAGCGGCCGAATTACAGCCAACGGTCCCGTAGCAAGAAGATCATCAACGTACACCATCAAACAAGCCATCACAGGGTCCGACTTGCAGCCAGTAGTCAAGAACCACAGATTGTTGTCAACAGCCGACATCACCAACCGACATTCACGGTTGCCAAGCATCAACCGAACAGTGCGCAGATCCTTGTCGCGGCGTATGCCCCAGTCACGCGGAGATTGGTCCAGGCCGTAAACAGCCCGCAAGACAAGCATGAAGCTGCGTGGAGGCACCAAGCCATGCTTGACCAACAGCGAGGGTGGGCGGAGCACAACAATTTCTGACGGAACTTGCTGAGAGAGGGGCGCCGGCTTAGTGAGCGGGCTCTGGCGATCCAGAAGCTCAGCATTCAAAAATGCTGTAGACACGTCAGTGGATCCGGCTGACCACCTCTTCTTGACTGCGAGCGCTAACACCTGTCTCAGTACCGCGGCATCAATTCCGCCGGCATACAGATCCACGCTTGCACTCCGACTTTCGCCGTCCTTGCCACTAAGATCAACATAGTTGCCACAGGCCACCAACCGGGCCTTGAATCTACCACCGCTCTTTCTGGTACACACCAGCTTACTTGGGATGATCATGGCACGCGTTCCGGCTTCTTGGTACTTGGTCAGCTCTGCCTCCGAAATCACTCTGAGAGCCTGCTTTTCATCGATCATCGAATGCAGCTCCTTTTCGAGAGCCTCCTTCCAAAGATCATAGTACCGCTCAACTTCAATCAACGGCACCGTATGCGTGCACAGAACCTCAGCATCTGGCAACAAACTGTACTCTAGCTCCTCACCAGCCTTGGCACAGCTGGCTTGCTCAAGCTCAAGAATCTTCCGAACAACGGCATGCCTTATAGCATCTTCTGCTTGACATCGTTGGCTCACATCCGCATGCTGTCTACACTGAGCCCTGCCCTCGTCACTCAACCACCCCTTTAGGTTCCTAAGTGACACTTCAGGGTCAACTTCACCCGGACAAAGGCCCAATGAAACCGAACCCTCATCCTCATCACCCTCAAACGCACCAGACTCATACAACTGCCAAGTATCGGGGAAAAAGGGGAGAAGGGAAGGGACAACCTTACCTAAACCACTACCTGACAACGAAGTTCCGCCTAGTGCTCCGCACTCAGCTTTTCTGAGACAGGCGATCCGAGAGTCATCACGACCTGCAGACCCAACCGACCCGCACGCTCCCGAACCTTCCACCTGCACTCCAACACCGGGCTGACGAGCATCAAGAGCATCAAATGGCCCCTCGAACCCCTCGCCAAACACCCCATCAACGAAGCTCCCATCCTCGAGACGTCCAAGCAACGATGGCGAAGCCTTTAAAGAACGACCCACTGACAAAACATCTCTCTCACAGAGCGAGCAGACCCCAGCAGAGTCCTTTACACACGCCCCGCACTCAACGCCCAAGCATCCAGGACCCCGACCCGCTACCCAGGCCTTACTAAGTCCCAGAGCCTCATCATTTCCTTGACCGATGCGAGCAAGGTTGGCAGGGGCGATCAACTCCCTAGCCAAAGACGAATTTAGGTCTCCTACGAGTCCCTCATCCACAACCACACTCCCCCCACCCTGCGCCTCAGCTCCTGCACATGTTTGAGAAGTGTCAACGCTAGGAACCACCACAGATTCCCGGCCAAGATTCATGCTCCCCCGGCCTTGCGCCTCATCACTTGCGCAGGCTGTTGAAGCCTTAAAAACTTGCTCCTTGCGAGCCGTAACAGAACCCTCATCTTTCTTTAAGGGTTTGGTGCTTTTTATGGTTTTTTGGGATTTTTGTGATTTTTGGGCTTTTTGAGATTTTTGTGGCGTGTCTGAGTCTCCCCCCTGCTTTTCAAAAGCAGCTTCAGGAAGACCTGCAACGGCGGAAAAACTTGCACCTCCAGGAAAACCTAGCTCACTCAGAAGCTGAACTTGTTCTGGCGTTGACTTGCTGAACCTTTTTAGGTTATATGCAACCAGCAAAACGCGACGACCTTCACTCCAAGGCTCGGAAGCATGCCACGCATGCGGGTCGAGCCTAAACGGAGTCAAAAAACTCAAGGAAAAAACCTTACCATTACAGGGCTTACCAGGTCCCACCAGTCTCACGTCGGTGCCATCAGGGCACTCTGCCCAGATTCCACCGCCCAAGGGCGGCACCGCCAGCGGCAGGACCAAGCTTGGGGAACTGTCATTGTACCTGTCTTTGTGAGGGGCCGACTTGACCTGATCGAGGACCGCCACCGTGGACCAAGTGTCTTCAGGGGCAACTTAGAAGGATGCAATTCACGAGCCTAGCAAATCCAGGACTGCGCTTTGCGGAAGTCGTGACCCCATTCACGCCCCCGTGCTGAAAGAAGCCTACTACCTTACAAGTGCCGGCGGATTCACGCATCAATGGCCTTTGTTTGGCCTGGCGGGTTCGAATCCACGACGAGCCTAAGAGAAAGTTGACTGCCGCTGTCAACGGAAACGGCTTCGTGTCAACGAGCTCTTGTGCTTTCAAGTCCTCGGGATCTTCATGAACACTTGCAACGGTAGTCTTGGCCCTGTACCTACGGCGTGTAGAGGACTGAAGGGGAATCGCTTCCGTCGCCTTGTCTTCAGGAATGACAAACCTAGCTGGATCAAGATATTCAACATTTTCGTACACACAGCTGGTATTGTACAGCTCATCCCTGACGGTTCGCACGAGATACCCTCCATCAATCTCAAGCGCTGGAGCGAGAACTCTGGCTTCAACGGCCTTGGCAGCCCACTCCTTGTCAGCATCTTTCTTCAAATGCCAAGTTCGGCGATGAACAAACACCTTTGCCCCAAAGGGAACAAGAGACGGTAGATCCCAACCCAGCATTTTCACCCTGGACTGAAACAACCTCCCGGCTGCATGCCTCAAGGCGTATGGCCAGTCCTTTGGGCCCAACTGCGCATCCCGCAAGAGAACCCTGACCGAGTCCTTGAGAATCCCGACTAAGGCTTCTGCCGCGCCATTTGAGCGCCAGTTGTCACCCCCCGTAGAGGACTTCCAAATTCCTCTTGAAGCAGCCCAGTCTCTGACATAGCGGTTGTCAAATTCAGCACCCTTGTCGGAGTGAAAACGAGCGATTTTTATCCCAAGACAGGACGCGCGAGCATCGATGAGCTTCAGGGCCCTCAGAACCTCTTGAGCCCCTTTATCCTTCAAAGGAATTCCAAAAGGAATGTTCACCATTTTTACCTTACTTAGATAGCTGTCCTCGTCAACCCCTTCTTCTGGAAGCAGCTCGCCCGCCTTTTTGTGCTTAGCGTCAGGCTCCTTGTAATCGCCAGCTTGTTCCCACTCCGCTGGCTCTTCCCTTGCGCTGAGTGCTTGCTTGTCAGGGTTCTCAGCAACTGGCTCCTGGCCCCCCCCCAACATGAACATCGACCGGAACTGACAAGTTAGCTGCCAGAAAATACCTGGCCTTCGCGCCTTCATGTACGCCCTCAGCAAACGGACCAGCCAAGTCAACAGACAAGACAAAAGAGTCAGTAATGGGTTGGCGAAAATGAGGAGGTCGCTTTAGACGCCCCATGAGACAGCTCCAACAGGCCTTGTTGTAGGGGATATGTCCCGCTGCTACATGTTCCTGAAGCGTTTGCGTCACTGTTTGTTTAGAGGGCCTAACCCTGGCAGCCTTCACCGTCTCCCTCGGAGCATGTTGTTGAAACTTGGTTGCAATCGCAGTCAAATACTGCTCAACCGCTTCAATTAACCCCGGCGCCCACCTGGACCACAACACACTGTCCCCAAACTCCCTCCCACCTGAACCACAACCTGCACCCTTGACCTCCCTGCACCACTCGGGCCAATCGTCAAATGTTGAGGCAATAGTGGTTGGCTTTCGACGTTCATGACCTAGGACTTGCGGAGAACATTTTCCCGAAAAGCTCATGAGGATCCCTAGGGTTCTCGAGGACATACCCCAACCTCACACCCACGCCAGTTTCACGCAAACCCCACTGCGCGGCCATACTCAGGAACAGCTGCTTAACCCATAGCTCATCGTCAGCCTTAACCTTGTCCAGCTCAACTTGCGAGAGGTCAGGAAGTCCCCATCTAGACTCACCATCCCTCGACCTCGCAATAGGAGGACCACTTCCCTGACCACGCAACACACTCCTAGTGCGACACGGAAGCCCTGACAACACTGCTATCAACCGACCGGACAACGCAAGTGAAAGAGTATAGGAGTACACGGCGGGATTCAACAAGTCCTCTTCGACATCTATGGACAAGACACTCAGTCCAAACCTACTGGCTACAGAGTCAAATGCCCTTCTAGCACTCCCACAGAACAGATGAAGAATCACTCCCTGAGATTGCTCAATTGACCTCCTTCTTCGGCGATTCAACACCCCTTTTACCCCTTCAGGAGGAACCAACGAGGAAGCGCTATCCACCAAGTCACGGGGAACCTCAGGGAAAAGTGACTGCAGCGTAATCCGATGCCACGCTTGAGCCTTGACCAGATCACCGTCCTCACAGCTCGTCTTTAGCTTTGCCATTCCAACCGGCCAAGGGTCGGTCCCATCGGTACACAAAGCCCTAGCAACCCTCACAGAGTCTTCAACAGCTGCCCCTTCCTCCAAGGACGTTTTCTCAATGAAATCAATGAGGGATAGCGCAACCGAACGCGTGACACGAGGACAACCAGCTTGGATGACCGCGGGAACCGCCACACCTTGAGGATCAAGTAGCAAGAACGCCCTCCGGGACCACGTGATCTTGAAGCCACACTTGATTAGGTGTCTGGCTGACACTATGGGTTCGATGGGTTGCGATGTCAACAGCGTTCCTGCCTGGTTGACCTCAACCTCGGCCTCGCCCTGAGCAAGTGACACCACACGAACCCCAGTAACAACATCACCCTCAACCTTGGCGCGCATACAAGCAGATGCACCTGAGTCTATTAGGCCCGTGGGGTCATTACCACCTGGCCTACGCCCGTATCCGTCAGCTACAGTCTTTATGGAAGTTTGCAGGGTCTCAATCATAGCAGCAGCTTTCTTAAGAATGTCTCCAGGTTCAGTTGCAGGGGCCTGGCAGGAGGATTGAGAGGCTGGCACGGGATTGCTGGAGGATGAGGGAGTTGAGGCTTGGGCACTAGCCTTTGCTATTGTTTCACTTCCCTTGCCCTTTCCCTTGTGCGCATCTGAGGCGCGTCCGTCCTTAGGCTGATAAGGGCACTCCGACCGCATGTGGTTGAGTGCTGAGCAAGCAAAGCAACGCTTTTCTGAAGGAAGCAATGGATCATGAGCAAACCTGCAGGCCTTGGCGAATTTGCAACCCTTGTCAGTTCTCCAATGCTTGCAAATCTCCTTGCCCTTACCCTCAGCACCCTTCGAAGTGTCATCTCTAGTTCTCCCTTTTCCTTTGGCCTCAGGGTCCTCAACCTTCGCAACCCTCAGACGCTTGCCAGCATCTGCATCCCCATCTGCCTTCGACTTGGACTTCACGGTACCCGACGACACCAAAGTCTCAAGTTCACCCTGAACGAACCTCACCAGCTCCACTATCTTAGCTTCAGTAGGCTGGTGATCAACGCTCTTTGCAAATCGGTAGGACGAGATCCTAAACTGTGCTTCCGGGTACTGCGCAAACACTTTTGACACCATCGTGTCCACACCTCCTAGCAGTAGAGTGGGATCTGGAGTAGAGATGTGCAGCTCGGCTGCTCTACACTTCCACCGTGACCACCGTTTGATACTACGGAGTGCGGCTACTGGTTCAGTGCATCCGTCAGGGTTCGTGAGATAGCGCAGCAATGCAGCTCTTTCCTTCAACCCGCCTGGTTGATAGGTTGTGTGAATCAAGGCTATGAGCTCAATGCATGATAGTTTCCGATTCGCAACCAACTCCTCCCTGATCACAGTAGGCACAGCACGCAACAGCATCGTCAAGGCTCGCTGCTCAACCCGTGCATACTTGGTGTGTTCAAACCGATATGGTTTTGTAGGTTGCAATGAGAGCCGCGTTACCGGATCACACATCAACCATTCCTGGTAGTAGGAAGTCGCTGCATGTACAACCTGAGACCACCATGTGCTGCTAGTGGGCGAGATGTCCTTCATGGCAGGGCTGATCATTGCCAACCAGTCTCCCGACAGAAGAGGAGCCAAGTCCCGTTCATGTTCCTTAACTTCCAGCTTCGGCAACTCTGAAATGGACACCCTGACATCCTCAGCTCGCTCACCGAACTCAGTGGAAGAACCCGACAAACCAAGTACACTTTTCAACCATTCCAACCCTTCGCCAACCCTCTGTTTGGGGGACTTACTTCCTCCTGGGCTTTGCTTGGCACCAAGTGCAGCGGCAACGGACATCCCTTTGGGATGTGGCGAAGCGGGAGGGGGAAGAGGTGGAGGCAGGATTTCGGTGCCGCCTGGCGATATCGGATAACCGCGAGACGACATAGGGCGTATCCCTCCCTGGACAGACAACCCTTGAGCAGAACCCCCGCCTGAACGACCTTGTCCTGAAGCTAAACATCCACTTTCGCCTACATTTGGCACTTCCGCTTGACTGTAGAAGTGCGCTGGGGTGCCACCAGCCACAGAACAAGCTCCGGCAATGCTTCTAACAGCCTGAGCTGCCGAAGATTCTAAGGGCCGAGCTCCACTCCCACCTGCTTCATCGCACAAGGCCCTCTGAGAGATAGATTCACTCGCGCGAATCTGCGCATTCTGGGACTCCAAAACGGGACCCCCTGCGACACGGTGACTCACAGAACCCTCATGCAACACTTGCTTAAATGGGGACTTGGCGTTGGGGCTAAACACATGTACGAGTGAGCTTGGAGCACTCTGCCCTCCCAGCTGAGGTGTGCTAGCCTCAAGGACCGGCACACTGCTCATCGGACGAGAAACCCCTTGAAGCACTGTGCCTACTTCCTCTCTCTGACGAGCTATCTCATTCTCCGCTGGCAGAGCCTGCCCGTGTTTTGGAGTTACATCAGCGGTTCTTCCTGGCCCAGCAAATGGAGCCCCTTCGGACCAATCCACATCCATACCCCCCTGAGCACCCAAAGTAGCTACACCCACGTCAGCCCTGCCGGTACCGCCGATCGGAGTTGATCGTCTCAGATGCTCAGGCAAACGAGGAGGTGGACACTGCGCAGAAGGTTGCCACCACTGTGTTCGGAACTGCTGCTGGTTTAGTTCTGCCACCATCTCTGCCGACAGTCCTCCTCCATGCCCTGAGGTTGCTGCCCCCAAGCCCATTGTACCACCACAAGGACCCATGACACCACCACCAAAGCCAGCATCCAAAGGAAAACTTCCAGGCAGCGCAGCAACAGGTCGTGGCTCTGCTCTAGCCGAGTCTTGAGACATTGACCCCCTGGAGCTTTCCAGCCGCTCTAACCGATCTGCAAGCAGTCTTTGGGTTTGAAGCACAGGCGCTAACTGTTCCGCCAACAAGCCCTGAAGCATGCTAGAGAGCGAATCCAACGGACCTGGCCCATAGCCCACAGCATCTTGAGATACTCCTGGCTGCACTGCACGACCAGTCCACGAAGAAGGAGCCGCTGGATGCTCCGGAAGTTGTGAATAATCTGGGATCAGCTCGACCTCGTCCACTTCCACACGCACACCACTGCTGCCCGATGGCTTCTGTACAGAGCCTTGAGCTGGCGTTGCCGAAACAAGCTCACCCCCACCCAAACCAGGAGCTGGCACAGGCTTTGGACTTGTTTCTCCCACTCTGGCCACTACTGGCCCCAAAGGAGAACCAACATCAGCAAGGTCGCGTGAGCTAGCCGATTGTCTCGCTGTTTCCTCCGACCCACCTGAACGTCCTTCGTTCAGTAGCTCCCTTGTATCTGCATCCAGTCCTACAGCCCCAAACAAGCGATAGTCAGGCTCAAACGCCTGGTTCGCCACACGATCACCACTCAACTGCTCCTCCGGAGATGGCAAGTCCACATCACTTGGAACATCTGACGCATTTGGATTCTGCATCACTCACAGAGCGTCGGGCTCATGACCATGGGACAAAATGGAGCACTCTGTTTGTTCAGGCTCAAAGCAACACAGAAGCATTCATCTGTACACTTCTTCATCAGCTATACATTTTTTGGCAAAAGTTTTTTCTTGTTGCTTGTGATGCTGGACATACAGTCCAACTAGCTCAGATGTTCGAGAACTTTAGCTGCCTACCCCGAAGAAAAGGTAATCCCACATGCGTGTCTACGGGGCCTACACGCTGTGCAACCTGAGCCTGAGCCTTCAAGAGCTGCTGGATCTCCGCCCAACACTCTGCCAGCTGATGAGGTGCGTACCTTGCGGGAGCCGCTTAGGGTTTAGGGTTTAACTAGAGGGGTTTCGGGGTAGTGGCCACAGGGGGCACAGTGGACAACTGGTTGCAGGACCCTGCAAGTCGGGTGCCCCGAAGAACTGTCCCCCTGCACAAAAATGACCCTAAACCCTGCACCCTGAACCCTAAACCCTAGAAACCTTTACACCCTGAAAGCCTGCGATGCCCAATCCTTGAACCCAACTTCCCGAAATCCCCCCAAGCCTTGAACCCGAAACCCTGAATTCCCCGAACCCACCGCCGCCAACCCCCTCAGCCCTAAACCTTTCAAACTCCGGAAAATCCCTGAATTCCCTCAAGCCCCCAAACCACCCCTAAAGCCTACCAATCCGGAAAATCCCTGAAATCCCTTAAAGCCCCCAAACCACCCCTAAACTCTCCTGATGCTCGTGCCATGGGTCAAAGCCAAGTTCCAGGCGCCTTAAAGCCCATGAAGCTCCAAAAGCCCTGCAGAACAGCCCTGGAAAACGGGACGCCCTAAACCCTAAACCCTAAACCCTAAACCCTAAACCCTAAACCCTAAACCCTAAACCCTAAACCCTAAAGTCCCTGAAAAGACACCTGACCCCCGAAACTTGAAACCCCCAAACATCGGTGTGGGGTTCAGGGCTTGGGGGTAGTGTAGAGTACTCTAAACCCTAAACCCTAAACCCTAAACCCTAAACCCTAAAATCAAACATCTCAAATCCTACGACGCTCCGCGCCATCCCTATGCCTCAGAGCATCCAGGGCCAAAGACAGCGGCCCTCTTCCATAGAGGAGGGGCTCGTAGGAAGGGCGTGCCCTCCGGGTTGAGGGTTTAGGGTTCAGGGTTCAGGGTTAGGGTTTAGGGTTTAGGGTTTAGTGCAGGGTTGTAGGGTTTTTGTAGGGCTTGGGGTTTGAGGCTTGCGGTTTGGTTGGGCTTTGGCTTTGGGGTTCAGGGCCCGGGGGCGGAGGGGAGGGTCTATAAATAGATGCTCTGCCGGCTTCCATTGGGGTACCTGCCTTTCATAACCCTAAACCCTAAACCCCAAACCCTAATTAAACCCTAAACCCTAAACCCCCGGGGGCATCATGCCAGAATTGGATGATCAGTGGTACCCCTCTTCTACGGCAGGGCAGATAGGCAGCCCTCCAAAGCCCGGGAATATACCCCCCCGAGTCCATGTACCGAATTCTTACATGCTTGGGCCCGAGAGTCCCTATGTAGGAGGTACTTTGAGGCCCAAGTATTCCTTGTTTAGGTCCCCTAAACCCTAAACCCTAAACCCTAAACCCTAAACCCTAAACCCTAAACCCTAAACCCTAAACCCTAAACCCTGGCGGGTCCACAAGAGACCCGCGCAAAACTGTGGTCCCACCAGCAAACCTGACATGCAGGACTTAGGTCACAGCCTCTAGTGTTGAGGAATGACGCCTTTCTGCTCCCTCGTGCGCCTAAAAGCCATTTCTGCCCAGAAGGGTTAACCTTCTCGGAACGGATTAGACGATGTAGACCATGGACGTCATCATGCTTGGGCCCTGGATGCGCTCTTCTCATCAGAGCAGAATAGACCATGGACGTCATCATGCTTGGGCCCTGGATGCTCTCTTCCCAGAACGGAGTGGACCATGGACGTCATCATGGTTGGGCCATGGCAGTGCAGACAACATGTTCATGCTTGGGCCATGGATGCTCTCTTCTCATCAGAACAGAGTAGACCATGGACGTCAACATGCTTGGGCCATGGATGCTCTTCCCAGAACGGATTAGACTATGGACGTCATCGTGGTTGGGCCATGGACCGGATGCTCTCTTCTAACTATGGTGAAGCAAACGTGTTATTTAGACCAAGGGCTGGGCAGAAGCGGATGCAAGCAAGACAGGGCTTAGTTTAGGACACGTCGAAAGTGCGAAGTAGTGCAAAAACACTCCACAAATACCAGTGTAGTCTACGGATGCCAAAATAATTGCACGATGATTTTAGAAAAAAATGCGGGGATGAGGTGATGGGCTAAACCCAGGAAACATCGGTGATTACAAGGGATTCTGAGGGCAGAAGAGCTAAACTGCCGAAAAAGAGTGGGTCTGTTATGGCCCCGCCTAGCCCTAAACCCTAAACTTTAAACCCTAAACCCTAAACCCTAAACAAGTCTTCCTTACTTAGGTACATGGACCCTTAGGGCCGTACGAGTACCTTAGGATTCTGCCCACCTTGCAGCAAGCAGCACGGCCGCGGCCCACGATACGCTCTTCCTGGCACGCTTCGCGTGTGTGGATTAGGGTTTAGGGTTTAGGGTTGAGGGTTTAGGCTGTTCAGGCCTAAGCCCGACGGGTTTAGAGTTTCAGGTTTAGGGTTCAGGGAAAGCCCTACACTTCCCCAAGCTCTAATCAGACCCCGTATTAAGCTCAAACCCGAAATGCCCTAAAGCCTTCACACGGCTTCAGAGTGTCGGGGTCGCCTTGAGAAATTCCGGTCCTTCTTGGGAGATTAGGGCTCTGCTCAAGTACCAAGAAGGGGGGGGGGGTACTTAGAAGCTGTTTTGACCGATCATCCCAATGCTTGACCAACCCTACTTATGAAGTCAAAGAAGGGCTTCCGAGAACCCGCATTCTGACGGGGTCCCCGAGGGAGCAGAACTTCAAGAAGCGGCCATGCATCCCTAAAGCGAAAGGGGGGGGGGGGAGTGGGGCGGGTGATGTTTTTACATTGCGGTACCCAAAAAAGGGCTCAACAGCTTAAGGAGCAAGATCTGCCGGTTGCCCTGGCTTGTAGTCCGTTTGTTGGCTCCTCTTGACTATTGATCTTTTTTTCTGTATTCATATATTTCTTTAGATTTCTTCTTCATTTCTGCATTTATTGTTACCGATATGTGTCCCTTTTGATGCGAAGCCGCATGTGTATGGCACAGAAGAGGTGGGCCCTGTTTTGACACCGGACCACCCCTTAACCCCAAAACCCTAAAGCCTAGACGCCCGACAAAGGGGTGGGAATCAGGGCTTCGGGTTCAGGGTTTACCTGAAGGCTCCAATGTAGCTCCTTTTTGGGTTATAAATTATAGGGGATTCTCCAAGTCTACTCCAAAAAAGGCACTACGTAGGAGCCTTTAGGTAGGGAGAGATGCCAAGCGTCGTTGCGAAGAGGATGCTGAGGAAGGCAATGCGAGTGCCTCTGAGGCCCCCCGGGAGCCCGTCGTGTGGGTGGTTCTCTGCAGTAGGGTCCCTGTTTTAGGTTCAGGTTTAGGGTTTAGGGTTTAGGGTTTGGGGTTTAGGGTTTCGGGTTTATGGTTTCGGGTCAGGGTTATAGGGCTCTAGGGTTTTTAACAAGCCTGGGGCCTTGCAGATATCCGGCCCACGTCGATGTAGAGTTTGGGGCTAAGCGGGGCTTGCCTGAACCCTAAACCCGAAACCCTAAACCCTCAACTCAACCCTAAACCCTAAACTCTAAACACCCAAACCCTCGCCCCTTCCCAGCAGGGTGGTTCCTGAGCCGAAGTCTTGGGCACTGCCCCATCGCATCATGGGGATACTGAAGTGGGGGGTTTATGAAATTCATTCAGGGACCCTCACATGTGCGTCCTGTCCAGCCTATGGGGACTCGGTGATTCACGCCGTGCTCCTTGTGGTTGTTGGCGGTGCGTGGGTGCGCCGTGTGCATGGGACGACCAATTCATTGCGGGCCCCCTGTTTTCGAGTAAGCCGACTTTAGCCTGGCTTGCCTCCCCTGCTTAGTACTCCAATGATTCATCACAGCCTCAACCCTGCAAACCGTAAGACTTGTTGCATGTAGGGTTTAGGGTTTAGGGTTTAGGGTTTAGGGTTTCGGGTTTAGGGTTTAGGGCAAGGCCCAAAGCCCCGAAGCCCCAGCTGATGTGGTCAGGCCGCCAGGTTCCGCGGTCAGTAAGAAGTGCAGCGTGGTGTCTCCTGAAGCTCTTGGGACTCAAGGGTTTAGGGTTTAGGGTTTAGGGTTAGGGTTTAGGGTTTAGGGTTTAGGGTTTAGGGTTTAGGGTTTAGGGTTTAGGGTTTAGGGTTTAGGGTTTAGGGTTTAGGGTTTAGGGTTTCGGGTTGCTTGCTTAGATGCCCCGGCGCCCCCCACACCCGACGTCCTAGACAGCCCATCGACTTGAGGGTTGAGGGCTTTGGGTTAAGGTTCATCATCCGGGAGCCGACATGCAGAGATGAGAGTTAGGTTCAGGGTTTAGGGTTTAGGCTTTAGGGTTTAGGGTTTAGGGTTCAGGGTTCAGGGTTTAGGGTTTGGGTTCGTCCCTTTGAGTCCTTTGGGTGCACCGAAAACATAGCTCTGGGAACCCGTGTGCTCGAGGGCCTGCACACCATGCTGGCGGTTTAGGGTTTAGGGTTTAGGGTTTAGGGCTTAGGGTTTAGGGTTTAGGATTTAGGGTTTAGGCTTTAGGGCTAAAGGTGTCGCTTTTCATCCACTCAGAAGCATCTTCAGCCCCGACCTCCCCCCCAAATCTTCTGAGCCCTCAACCCTAAACCCTAAACCCTTACGCAGGCCCCAATTCGTAGAAACCTCTCCTGCTGCCAGTGATTCCACCGAAGGCTCCATCCATGGACACACCAAGGATCGGAGGGCCGGTGCAGTGCAGGCGTCGGGGTTTAGGGTTTAGGGTTTAGGGTTTAGGGTTTAGGATTTAGGGTTTAGGGGTTAGGGTGTTAGGGTATTAGGGTGCTAGGGTGTTAGGGTTTGGCGGGTTTGTGCTTAGAAGCTCTTATTGACTTAGAAAGTGTACTTAGTATCTCCTAGACACCCTACTATGGTCCTCCTATCCTAACCCACCTTACTAACCTTGCTGAGTCTTAGCACTAACCTTAAAAATTCTAAGCCTTGAAGCCTGGAGTTACTTAGACGTTCTGAGGGTTTAGGAGTGATGTGTGTAGGGGTTTAGGGGTGTAGGGCTTGGAAGCCAATTGTTGACCGGTCTCTTGCTTTGACTCGGCTTTACGATTTAGGGCTTAGGGTTTAGGGTTTTAGGGTTTAGGGTTAGGGTTTAGGGTTTAGGGTTTAGGGTTTAGGGGTTAGGGTTTAGGGTTTAGGGTTTAGGGTTTAGGGTTTAGGGTTTAGGGTTTAGGGTTTAGGGTTTAGGGTTTAGGGTTTAGGGTTTAGGGTTTAGGGTTTAGGGTTTAGGGTTTAGGGTTTAGGGTTTAGGGTTTCAGGTTCGGGGTACTATACAAAGCCACAGGGCAGATGAGATGGATTGTGACCTCAGTACGAACCAGCTCTCCAGTTCTACGAAGATTCAAGTAGGGTTTGCCGGGGGGGTGGTTTAGGGTTTAGGGTTTAGGGTTTAGGGTTTAGGGTTTAGGGTTTAGGGTTTAGGGTTTAGGGTTTAGGGTTTAGGGTTTAGGGTTTAGGGTCCGGGAAGAAGTGCAGGGCTTAGGGCTTCTTTGTAAGTCAGCAGAGGTGGTTCTAAAGAATGCAACCCCACGGTGCATCTGGCTCCCATCTTAGATGAACCCTAAAACCCTAAACCCAAAACCCTAAACCCCAAAACCCTAAACCCTAAACCCTAAACCCTATCTACGGCCTGCATCGGCATCCTTACAACTCGTTTGAAGCTCAAGCACCACACAGCTTGAACCCCTATAAGCTCTGAAGCCCACCAAAACCCTGAACAAACAGCCCCAAACCCTGAACATCCAAAAAACCCAGACTGCAAGGTCCATGCGACAAACACCCTCCACCCCGAACCCCCCCCAAAACCTGTTGGGCTTTGGGTTCTCTGGTTACACTCTAAAAACACCCTAAACCCAAAACACCTAAACCCCAGAACCCCAGAAACGTGTTTTGCGTCGAGCAGCTACTCTAAGCGCACGCCAAAGGTCTCACAGGCCTCAGCACCCGCACCCCTCGGAGGATCCAAACAGTAGATCCCCTTAAGGGTTTAGGGTTAGGGTTCATGGTTTAGGGTTTGGGGATCAGGGGTTATGGGGGGGGGGTACTACTTGGGGGTTCTACTTTTTGGATCCTCCCAGTGGTCTGGGCAGGAGATCCGTTGGGGTCGGATGGTCTGCTTCTGTGCGAATAGAAGACAAACATGATTGGGAGGTTAAGGTTGAGGGCCTAAGGAGCTAGGGTTACAAAGGTTTCGGGTTTGGGGGGCACAAAGGCTTACGGACTTACAGTCTTGGATACGCTCAGGGACTTGAAGGCAGGGTTTAGGGTTTAGGGTTTAGGGTTTAGGGTTTAGGGTTTAGGGTTTAGGGTTTAGGGTTTAGGGTTTAGGGTTTAGGGTTTAGGGTTTAGGGTTTAGGGTTTAGGGGGAAGGGTTTTGAATGACGATTTTTCAGAGCTGCTGGGCTGAACCGGCGTTGAGCCTTAGGCTTTAGGGCTGTTTTAACGGCTCCGGGTCCAACATCTTACACGAGGATACATGAGGTGGGGGGGGGGGGGGGTAGGACATGTGGCTCACATAGATCCTACCCTAAACACTAAATAGAATCCTGGAACGCATGCCCGCCCTGGGCATCCCAGTTCCGTTGAGGATTAGGGATTTGCTGCAGGTTCGCAAACCCGGACTGAGACCCGGCATACTGTGACAACTCGAGTTATACCCTGCTCCCCTAAACCCTAAACCCTAAGCTCCTAAGCCCTATATAGCTCCAAAATGTTGCAAACCAGGGTCCAGCTAAATCCTTGACCTGAAGCCCTACCAAAAGCTCATACCAGCTAAGGGCTTCTTGTGCTTGGAGACTTCGGAATTAGGGTTCAGGGTTTAGGGTTTAGGAATTAGGGTTACTGTAAACCTCCAGAGCACGAACACCAGAATCCCCGAAACCCTAAACCCTAAACCCCCAGATGATTGAGTCCGCAACCCGCCGCGCGAGCTTCTCTGCCAACTTCAGCGCAAAGATCTGGAGGTGCAGGGCTACAGGGTTTAGGGTTTAGGGCGTAGGGTTAAGGGTTTAGGGTTTAGGGTTTGCTGGGTTTGAAAAGCCACACACGTCTCTGCACTTGATGGTGCTACTTGTGTACGACAACCCCGTTCATAATCGAAACCATGTATATAAAGGGACTGTGGGGCCGGGTGAGGGGGGGGAGGGAAAAAGGCAGGTGGGGCATAAGTTGGGTCCCCCTTCTACTAGCAGTCCTTAGTAGGGATTATAGTACCCCCCACATGCAAGCCCTATTCAGGACTGTTAGCATGAGGGGGAACATCCCAAGGTATCAGTACAAACGTAGTGATCCTCCTTGAGCCGGTTCACTTATTTTGCCCTGGGCGTGCATGGCCGATGGTGTTTGCTTGGGATGTTTCCCCAAATACTAGCAGTCCTTAATAGGGATTATAATACAGCGTGCTAGAATCTCTTTAAGGATTACAATAGGGCGTACTATAATCCTTATGAAAGACTGTTAGCATAAGGGGGGACATCCCAAGTGGTTGGGTTTAAGGCTTTAAGGCTCAGGGGCCCTCTCTCCGACTTCGGAGATCTGGACTCTACCAGCATTGAAGGTTCCATTGGAACTCCATACAAATCAACGGGCTGACATGAGCCTCTCCAACCTCTTATGGTCCTCAAACCCTGAAAGGAGTGCGCCTGGCCCTGTGCTTGTCCCACAGCGATGCGCTTCATCTCTCCGATCTTCATGGGCGTCTGGGCGCGTCAGCTGAGGGCTTAGGGTTTTGGGGTTTTAGGGTGTAGGGTTTAGGGTTTAGGGAATGGGGTTTAGGGTTTAGGGTTTAGGGTTTAGGGTTTAGGGTTTAGGGTTTAGGGTTTAGGGTTCAGGGTTCAGGGTTTAGGGTTTAGGGTTTAGGGAACTCTAAACCCTAAACCCCTGAACCCAAAAAACCCTAGACCCTTTCTGGGCGCTAAACCCCATACCCTTGACTCCAGGACCCTGCACAACCTTGAGCCTGCAAACCCTAAGACCCGAAAAGCCTTAAAAACCATAATCAAAAACCCTAATCCCCAAAACCCTAAAACAAGAACCCTAAAACCCTGGCAAAACCAAAACTAAAACACCCTAAAACCCTAAAACCGCATTAAAAACAAAAAAAAACTAGAACCCTCAAAAGAGCTCATTGCAAGATCCAAACACCAAACCCCACCCCTAAATCCGAAAACCACAACTCCAAAACAAAAAATAGAACCCAAACCCGCAAAACCCCAAAACAAGGAACCCCCTCTCAAAACCTGGACCCCTGCTTCTTTGTAAGGAATGAGGGGTTTAGGGTTTAGGGTTTAGGGTTTAGGGTTTAGGGCTTAGGGTTTAGGGTTTAGGGCCCTTTACATACCCTTTAAGGGATTGTATAGGGTACCTCATTGCATCCAAAACCATGAACCCCCAAACCAAAAACCCAACACCCCAAAGCACAAACCCAAAACCATGAACCTTCCCAAACCCCTGGAAGCCCGAAGTACCCTAAACCCTAAACCCTAAACCTCAAACCCTAAACCCTAAACCCTATAAACCCCTAGAAGCCCGAAGTTGGGTCCTCCGGAAACTGTCGGATGAGCATGGCCTCGATGTTCTGTCCTTGGGTAGTTCTCCCCGGCACCCGAGGTGGTCAGGGTTTAGGGTTTAGGGTTTAGGGTTTAGGGTTTAGGGTTTAGGGTTTAGGGTTTAGGGTTTAGGGTTTAGGGCTTGGGGTAATTCTCGAAGTTCTGGCCTCGGATGGGGCAAAAAGCTGGGCTTTGGGTCGCTAGGCCAAACGGGCTTAGGGACTTAGGAGCCTGCTGGCCATCAGATCCGAGGATGCTTGTACCAAAGCCTGCCCGGATCAAACCCTAAACCCTAAACCCTAAACCCTGAACCCTGAACCCTAAACCCTAGGCACCAAGCTGGAGTCCTAAACCCTAAACCCTAAAACCCTAAACCCTAAGTAGTCGAGGATCTGAGCCCGGATACAAACTCCGTCATCTCGTCCAGCTCCTGTGCAGGCCAAGAGCACAACTCACTCCTCCCAAAAGGTCCGGAGCACCCTAAACACTACACCCTAAACCCTAAACCCTAAACCCTAAACCCTAAACCCCTGCTTTCGAAGCCCTAAACTCTAAACCCTTGCCCTAAACCCTAACCCTTAAAGCCTAAACTCCTCCTAAACCTTAAACTTCAGAATCCTGAGCCCCATAACCTAAGAAAGCTGCAATTTTGGGTTTAGGGTTTAGGGTTTAGGGTTTAGGGCTTAGGGTTTAGGGTTTAGGGTTTAGGGTTTAGGGCTTAGGGTTTACGGTTTCGGGTCTAGCTTCGACAAAGGTTCAAGACTACGTCTGGGTCCTTAGACTTAGACCCAGTCAAGACCTCAAAGCATCAGGGGTACTTCTTTTGCAGGGGGGAGGGTTTCCAGATAGAGGAACACTGGTTCATGGTTGGGATAGTATTTAAAATTAAATTTCTATTCCTTATTGGGTTTAAGTACCCTTAAAAATGTAAAATGCTACCCAACTATGACAAAGAATATGCCATGTTGAGTGCACAAAGGGTACTCCGTCCGAGTTATGTTGGGAAACCTCCATATGTGCTGCGGGATAAGGCCTTCTGGGGCTGAAAGAAACCGAGCCCTGAAGACCCCAACAAACAGTTTATATTAATTTATCTACATCACTACACATGAGCCACTCGGTGGTTCAGGATCTTCGTTTCTCTCCCTCGTTTCAAGAGTTCGCTTCACTCCACGTCTGTAGTTGATGATGCTCTTGAGCTCCTCGTGGGCACTCTTCATGTCGTAGTTCATCTCGCAACCCTTGACGCTGTCCAACCCACCTCCGCCTGGAGTTTAGCGAGACAAGCGATCTCGATCAAGACGGCGCTTGCCGGTGGTCGTTTTTCACGCTATCTGTGTGACTGATACTGGCATCCAACTGCGCGAGATCCTCGTTGAGGACGATCTTGGAGGCTGACATCAACTTGGCTTCGGTGAAGTGTTTCTTCTCTCCCGCAAAAAAAGCCTTCAAGGATGCGATTTGTTCATCGCTCCTTGTCTCAAACGTGCTTTCTGTTGTCAGTGTGGAAACCCTAAACCCCAAACCTTGAACCCTTAATCTGCACCCCATGTCGAACGGGCACGCATTTTTTTGAATCTTCGGGCTTACTACTGGAGGTGCTGGGCTTACAGGGCTTAGCTTGAACAACCCCAAACTTACTTGCCTGTAGGTGGCTATGACAATAAATGACCCTGTAGATGATTCTTAGGTAACCCAAGAACTTCTGTGGCAAGCCATGAATCTCAAGGTTTAGGAATTCACGCCTAGCACATCGAGTGTATTGGGTTTTTGGGTTTGGGGTTTGGGAATTGAGGGTTATCTTAGGGTAACTACGTGCCCCCTTAGTATGGGCCCTTAAACGAGGACCCATACACAAACCAAGAACCCATACTTCAGAACCCTGTAAACTTTAAAGGAGGTCAGGTACCATATTCAGGGCCTAAATAGGAGACCCCTTCTATACCACACCCTATACAACCCAAGGGCCCATACCCTTTATAAACTGTAAAGGAGATAAGGGACCATATTAACTACCCTCAGAAGTTTAGGGCAAAGGAGTTCAAGCCTAGGGGGCCTCAGTGCCCCTTGTTTGGGAGGGACTTGCCCATGACAGACCGAAGGGAGCCAGCGGTTTACGTATTTGTTTAGGGTTTAGGGTTTTTTTTGGGGAGGGGGGGGGGGGGGATTTCTCAATATGGGGGCTTACGAGAATAAGGGGCCCCCAATATAATCCCTTAAATAGTAGGATCCCCTTATAATAAGGACCCCAATAGGGTACCCTAATTTCGGAAACCCCACATTGACGAAGTAGTAGAATCCGAAGTTGATCTAGTAGGAGGGTTTTAGGGTTGAGGGGTTGAAACTGGGCAGCTGAACGACGACCACCAAAGTTCACTTCCACTTCTTACCTTGCCGATGTCGCTCAAGCCTCAATGCCCGAAGCCACCCTCAACCCTAAACCCTAAACCCCAAACCCTAACCCTAAAACCCTGAACCCAAGGAATGAGCGGTACTAATAAGGGCTTCAGGGTAGGGCTTCATGGTAGTGTGGGTATGGGGCTTATACCTTAGTCAGTTGAGGTTTAGGGTTTAGGGTTTAGGGCTTAGGGCTTAGGGCTCAGGGTTTAGGGCTTAGGGTTTAGGGTTTAGGGCTTCAGAGAATTTGGGGTGTCGCTTGCCCCCTGTCACGCCTCAGAGCTGGGCTTGCGGCCTCCGCCCATCTGGCGACAAAGCTGGAGCGCCTCTTCCTTGTCCTCTGGCGCATCACTGGAACTCAACCCTAAACCCTAAACCCTAAACCCTAAACCCTAAACCCTAAACCCTAAACCTTAAACCCTAAACCCTAAACCCTAAGTTTCATGTAAACCTAAAACCCTAAACCCTAAACCCTAAGCCGAACGAAGCTCAGGTGCCTTGGTTGAGGGTGTCGGCTTCAGCATAAACATTACCCAAAGAGCCCAATATTGCTTAATTAAGCAATATACCTTAAATCATATAGGGGTCCTTAATATGATTTAAGGAATATTCCTTAAATCATATAGGGGTCCTTAATATGACTTAAGGAATATACCTTAAATCATATAGGGGTCCTTAATATGATTTAAGGAATATTCCTTAAATCATATAGGGGTCCTTAATATGATTTAAGGAATATTCCTTAAATCATATAGGGGTCCTTAATATGATTTAAGGAATATACCTTAAATCATATAGGGGTCCTTAATATGATTTAAGGAATATACCTTAAATCATATAGGGGTCCTTAATATGATTTAAGGAATATTCCTTAATTTAGCAATATTGGGCTCTTTGGGTAACTCCAGAACCCCCAGGGCGCCGCTTCGCGCCCTCGTGCAACAGAACAAGCTATGCCAGGCTTGAGACCCTCAGCGTCCATGTACCTAGAAGATAAGGAAAACTTGTTTAGGGTTTAGGGTTTAGGGTTTAGGGTTTAGGGTATAGGGTTTGGGTTTAGGGTTTAGGGTTTGCGGGTTTGGGGTTTGGGGTTTAGGGTTTAGGGTTTAGGGGACCTAACCAAGGAATACTTGGGCCTCAAAGTACCTCCTATACAAGGTATTGAGATGTCCAAGCTTGCAGAGGCATCCGGTCGAACAGATCTTCGGCCAGAGACCACAACCGTGAACCCCAAAACCTAAGAAACACTTCTGGTGGTAGAGGTTCTTGTTTAGGGTTTAGGGTTGGGGTTTGGGGTTTCGGGTTTGGGGTTTGGGGTTTAGGGTTTAGGGTTTAGGGTTTAGGGATTAGGTTTAGGGCTTAGATTCAGGGCTTAGGGTTTAGGGTGGTGCAGGCTCTTAAGGTAGCTACATGGACCACCTTTAGTACGGGCCCTGAATTTTGGGAACCCTCATATAGCCTCTACATACCCTAAACCCTAAACCCTAAACCCTAAACCCTCTACATACCCTGTACAAACCAAGGGCCCATACTCCAGGTCCGTTTGCCCCGACTTTTAGAAAGACTGCATGTTCTCGCTCACCCCAAACCCTAAACCCGAAACCTGAAACGCTAAACCGCAAACCTTCGCCTAAACCTACGAGCCCTTCTATGCCCCTACATCTTCCCTTTAAAGGACAAACAAAAACATGTGTATATACATATATATACACTAATATATATATATATATATGTACACTTTTATAAATAAATAAATAAAAAATAAATAAATATATACTTTTTTTTGGGGTACCGAATTCCCCTGAACCAAGTAGCCCCTCAACCCTAAACCCTCAACCCCAAACCCGAAACCCCAAGCCCTAAACCCTAAACCCTAAACCCTAAACCCTAAACCCTAAACCCTAAACCCTAAGCCTATACCTTAAACAACTATAAACCCTGAAACCAAGACTTGCAAGGGCGAAATGGGCTCTACTAAGGCCTCACTTCACTGGAGAGTGATGGTTTCGATAGTCACGGGTTCTATACTTGGTACCCCAGTAACCATATTATAATAAGGGCAACCTTTTTTGGTTGGTTAATTTATAAGGGAACCTCAACTAAAAAAAGGGAAAAGGGTACCACTGGGCTACCAAGTATAGAGAAGGGGGAGGGGGGGGGGGTCCTCTTTCTGAGTCTTGACCACGGTGCTGGCTTGATCCTGCCAGAAGAGCGAAGCACATTTGTGGGTTATTTCCTTCTTGTCTGTCTGGAGTTCCTTATTTCTTTATGTACGTAGTTTTGGCTATTTGATTCTCTCTCTCTCTCTCTCTCTCTCTCTCCCTCTCAAACACTTCTAAACCCTAAACCCTAAACCGCCCCCAAGCACACGTCCGCATCATCTGCCTGCGACACCCTAAACCCTAAAACCCTAAATCCCAAACCCTGAACCCCCACAAGGGCTCTGGGTCTAGGTTCTTTTGGTATTCAGGCGCTGCTAGGTTCAAATTCCGGTAGGGTTTAATGAGGCACCAGGGTTTAGGGTTTAGGGTTTATGGTTTAGCTGGTTTAGGGCTAGGGTTTAGGGTTTAGGGTTTAGGGTTTAGAGTTTAGGGTCAGAGTTTAGTTGGTTTAGGGTTTAGGGCAAGCTCCGGCCTGCTCCACGAACTGCTCGTAAGCCTCTTGGTCGTCCGGACTTCGATACGCCGTGGAGTAGTAGTAGACCTGGTGAAGGGGTAGGGTGTAGGGTTTATAGGGTTTAGGGCTTAGGGTTTAGGATTTACGGTTTAGGGTTTAGGGTATTAGGGTATTAGGGTAGTAGGTACATGGACCCTTAAGGGCTCTAAACTTCTTACCTCTCCAATAACCCAGGGAGTAAGAAGGTGAGACTGAATTACTCACATAAGATAAGGAAGCCCTGAGAAGTTTAAAGTTCAGCTGCTGGCTAAGTAAGAGACCTGCAGCCCCCGAGCCGAAAGCCTCCAACCCCCAAAATCTTAAACCCTGAGCCCCATCTCTGGTCGCCTATAACGAGGATGGCCCTCAAAAACCCTCTGTTCATGCTCCCCTTAAACGCTAGAAGGGGGTTTAGGGTTTAGGGTTTAGGGTTTAGGGAGAGACTTTCAGGATTGTGCCTTAAATTGCGCGGAATGGATTCGGGTATCATGGCAGCAAGTTGTCTTAACCATGGGATGTTCTTTGTCATCTGACACGGGCACGTTTGCGTGATAGTTCTTAGCATAAATGCCCAGAAGGTGAGGAAGCTTTTGCCTCAATTTGGACTCAAGGGGCTGAACCACTAAACCCTAAACCCTAAACCCTAAATCGTGCACAGGTACTTCATGAGGCTCAGCTTCGCCACGGCCAGGTCGGTGAAACCAGGCTTGCAAGTCTTGCTCTCCGCCTACATCGGTCCTGTGATGAAGCTGGCTTGCAGCAAACCTCGGTTTAGGGTTTAGGGTTTAGGGTTTAGGGTTTAGGGTTTAGGGTTTAGGGTCCAAGCGCTGCAGGACAGCCTAACTGTCCAGTCCCGACTGGTCGTCCAAGCCAAAGAACTTGTCTTTCTGGCATGCGCGCACCCTTCGCATCAGCTTGCTAAACCCATCCGCCAATGTTCCGTCTGTTGGTATATTATAGGGGGAACATACCGAATACTTCGTTTATTCAGTTTATTCCCCTGAACCTGATAGCCCTACAATTTTCCGACCCTTCTCTTCCTCTCACAACTTAAACCCCGGAGAACCTCATTAAACCCTATGTTTAGGGTTTAGGGTGTAGGGCTTAGGGTTTGGGGAATCGTCATTTACAACCCTACAGTATGGTTGAGCGCTAAAGCCCGAACACATAGTAGCCCTCATCCCCTACGCGCGAGCCAGTTGCAACATCGGCTAGGACGCCGCGCCCAGGGATTCTGCTTGTCCGTGGGGATGTACATCACTTTGCCTGTCATTGGGGTTTAAGGTATTCTAGCCCTAAACCCCAATTATAACCATACCAGGGCGCTTAAGTGCCTTATGATTGGGTTGTAAGTACAGCTATTGTTGGGTTAATAAGTACCATGAACCTCCAAGTAGGGTTTAGGGCCCATGCTCACGCAGAACCCTGGGAGGATCCGCAATGCAGAACCCCCACAAGGTGCCCAATACTACTATTGGGACATTCCGCAGAACCCCTAAACCCTAAACCCTAAACCCTAAATCCTTAAAGGGGATCGACTGTTGGATACTCCCAGGGAAAACCTGCCCCTGACTGCACCCAAGTGACCGCCCTCGTAGTACTCCTGGACAAAAACGGCAGCTTGGGAGACGCCCAAAAGGGCAACATCGCAACAGAATCGACTCCACTGCCAGAAACCCTAAACCCTAAACCTATATGAATCCAAAACCCTAAACCCTAAACCCCCCCCCCCCCCCCCGAGCCCAAACCACTGCTTTGGCGCTTGAAGATACCCTAGTGCCCCGGATGTATAGGGTTTTGGGTCACCTTGGCAGGAATTGTAGGTTTGGAGGGTTTTGGGTTGGGGGGGGGGGGGGGGGGACCCCAAAGTTTCTTAGTCTAATCACTCCTCTTCTCTTCCTTCCTCATTCCTCTTCATGCTGATTGTTGTGCATATTATGACAACCCATGCTTGGTTGATCTTGAATTGGGTTACGACGCTAAACCCCGAACCCTAAACCCTAAACCCCAAACCCTAAACCCTCTGAAAACAAGCAGTCCTGCAGGAATCGCGTGAAGCGGAGGTCGCAGAAGGGGTGCAGCAACGTCTCGTCGTTGCACAGGTCGAGGAAGGCACCTAACTGCTTCAATGTGCTGAACTTTAGGGTTTAGGGTTTAGGGTTTAGGGCAGTTTAGGGTTAGGGTTTAGGGTGCAGAGTTTAGGGTTTAGGGTTTAAGGTTTAGGGTTTTGGGTTCAGGGTTTAGGTTACACATGAATCTCATGATCTGGTCAAGCATATTCGTATACCTTTGGGGAGTATGGGGATGAGGATGTTCCAACTTTTTGGAGGTTACTGTAGGTTTTTTGAGGGGTTTAGGGTTCAGGGCCTCCTCAGGGGCTTAAGGATTAGGGGGCTTCGCGCTTGGGCTTCAGGGTTCAGGGCTTAGGGGCTTAGTTTTTTGGGGTTGAGGGTTGAAGTGGGGGGAGGTGCTAGGGCTTAGAGGGTATAGGCCCCTTCGGGTTTTGGGGGCTTCGGGTTGAGGGTTTGCGAGTGTAGGGTTGAGGGGTTTAGGGTTTAGGTTAGTTATCCTTCGTTGTAATTTGAAAAAAGGCCAAGGTGATGGTGCAGTCGATTTCTGCGGGTCCATGACACAAAATACAATCAAGACAGAAAGCGAAATAATTGCGAAAGCTGTCCTCTCGAGCTGACAATCTCTTTATGGCTACAGCATTGAAGACTACCCTCAGCCCTAAACCTGATCAACCCGAAGCCAAATCGCCCCATACCCCAGTTGCCAAGGTCACCCCCCCCAAAAAAAGTATATATATATATATATAATGATGATGATAATAATCATAATACTACATGACCGGGAATAAAGTTTCGTCGCTCTTGACAAGACAAAAGCTAACGGAGGACAGCGGAGTACTGCATCATGGTTTTGTCCTAGCCTGGCCAGCGGAGGAATTAAGCCCCTGGAAAAAACGTATACTACTTTTATTGTTCCGGAGGACCTCGCGCTCTTGGAGTGCAGGAGTCTAGGGAGGAGAGGGGGTCTTCTGCTGTCTTCTTGTCTTATGTTCTGAGTGCGAAAAAACTTTCGGCCTGCCGCAGTAACAGTCATAGTAATAATAGTAATACTATTAAAAAAACATCCCTAAGCAATATGAAATCTACACTAAACCCGAATCACCCTAACCGTTAGCCCTAAACTCCTAAACCAAGCCCCCAGTTCTGTGCAAGGCATCGGAGAATATCCAAAACCCTAAACGTAAAACCTAAAGCCGGAACCCGAAACCCCAAACCCTATAAACCCTAAACCCTAAACCCTAAACCCTAAACCCTAAACTCCCATTTTTGTCACAAAGGCATCTGGCATGGCTGAGGATCCGAGCCTAGGCTCTCGCTTGGACAAGCAAAGTCGAAAAACTCCTGGCCCGGAAAGGCTAGACCCAAGGGTAACCTAGGAATGTTTAGGGTTTAGGGTTTAGGGTTTAGGGTTTAGGGTTTTAGGGTTTAGGGCTTTAGGGTTTAGGGTTTAGGGCTTTAGGGTTTAGGGTTTAGGGTTTAGGGTTTTAGGGTATTAAGGGTTTAGGGCTTTAGGGTTTAGGGTTTAGGGTTTAAGGTTAGGCTCAAGAGTAACCTAGGAATAAAAAAGGGTGCCCTTTTTGTTTTTAAAGGGGCTGATAAGGGAGCCTAACCCCCCAAAAAGGGAACAAGGAGGCCTACTCCGGCTCCTAGAAAGACGCGGGCTTACGGGAAGGGTTGGGTTTAGGGGTTAGGGTGTCGGGGTTTGGGGTTTAGGGCTTCCGGTTAGGGTGTCGGGCTTAGGGTTTAAGGTTTCGGGCTTAGGGACCCTAAACTAAAAACCCCAAACCCCAAACCCGAAACCCCAAACCCTAAACCCTAAACCCATGGCTTCGGGCTTCTGATTCGGGTGTCAAAAGTCCTTCCTTTGGCAGAGAGAGGGTTTAGGGTTTAGGGCTTAGGGCTTAGGGTTTAGGGTTTAGGGTTTAGGGT